GATTGGTCGAATCCAATTTTAATTCAATTTTTAGATTGTGACGTCATTTGGTGATGTTATCATTTGGGTGAGTTTAGATATTTTTTATATATGTGTTGTTTTTTTTCCCCTTTTTAATCAACTTCCAGTGCTGCGTGGACTTATATAGAACTGAATTGGAATTAGAATTGGAATTTGGGACTTCCCGAAAGCTGTTTCAAAATCGTAATGTTTTCAATTGGGATGTTTTCAATTGGGATGTTTTCAATCGTGATGTTTTCAATTGGGATGTTTTCAATTGGGATCTTTTTAATAGTGATGTTTTCAATTGGGATGTTTTCAATCGTGATGTCTTCAATTGGGATGTTTTCAATTGGGATGTTTTCAATTGGGATGTTTTCAATCTTGATTGGTTTTTTTAAAATAGTCGGTTGATTTATAATGGATTTATAGTTGATAAAGCTGAGATACAAACATGAGATAAAATCGTGTTGTATCAAACTATTATGAGATAAATACAAGTGAGATAGAAATTAAACTAGAGTAGCCACTTTAGCTTTGCACAAACACTGAAATGATGAAAATTGCAGTGAGCAAATCTTGAAAGAGATAAAGACTTATAGGCAAATATATATTACTAACAAGAAAGCACTTCGGGGAAAGATCCGAAATTACCATCCGAATAATCTTTGAAAAAATCTTTGGCAACAAACTTTAGAAAGCAAATAAATGGTCAATTTGGAATTCACAAATAAACAGATATTGAAAACCAGGATTTAGCTTTCAAGGAACCAGCCTTAGTCAAAATGGGGTCAGATTTCAGAGGAAAAACCTTCAGTCAAATTTGTTTTGAGACAGCCGGAAAGTTAAAATGCGTTTAAACACATACATGGTAATGAACTTTTGGACACCCATGAGGTATGATAATTTTAGGTGTTAGAATATGTAATTTTTAAAATGATTAAATGCTATAAACCTGTTTGGTATTCAACAATTTAAAACCTATAGGAAAGGATGAATTGAAATCCTGTCTGAACAAGCTTTAGACTAAAGGATCACACAGGAGATGGGGCAGCTCGTTCGTCTTGTCAGCTGATGGTGGTTAGCTTCTTGTCAGCTGATGGTGGCTAACTTCTTGTCAGCTGATGATGGTTAGCTTCTTGTCAGCTGGTGGTGGCTAGCTTCTTGTCAGCTGATGGTGGTTAGCTTCTTGTCAGCTGATGGTGGCTAGCTTCTTGTCAGCTGGTGGTGGCTAGCTTCTTGTCAGCTGATGGTGGCTAGCTTCTTGTCAGCTGGTGGTGGCTAGCTTCTTGTCAGCTGATGGTGGCTAGCTTCTTGTCAGCTGATGGTGGCTCGCTTCATGTCAGCTGATGGTGGCTGGCTTCTTGTCAGCTGATGGTGGTTAGCTTCTTGTCAGCTGATGGTGGCTAACTTCTTGTCAGCTGATGGTGGCTAGCTTCTTGTCAGCTGGTGGTGGCTAGCTTCTTGTCAGCTGATGGTGGCTAGCTTCTTGTCAGCTGATGGTGGCTAGCTTCTTGTCAGCTGCTGGTGGCTAGCTTCTTGTCAGCTGATGGTGGCTAGCTTCTTGTCAGCTGCACCACCGATCGAAGAACAGTCGACTACCACCGATCGAAGATGTCAGCTGATGGTGGCTAGCTTCTTGTCAGCTGATGGTGGCTAGCTTCTTGTCAGCTGATGGTGGCTAGCTTCTTGTCAGCTAATGGTTTCGAAAGGCGAAAGCATGAAGCATTCGTTAAATGGCACCATTTAAAAAAAAAATTGTTGCCATTGTTCGGGCTCTGAACAGATGATTAATCTTTTATCCTCAAGATTTTTTAGGTTAAGTCCAGTATCACGGTTGATACAAACCAGGACTCCGTTAGCTTATGATGATACACCCAATGGTTGCTCAAAGGTTGGTGTGCAATCAATTGTGGATAATTTCTCTAACGTCTACAAATTCTTCGGCCCTAACACGGGGAAAAGCGAACGACTGCGGCGGCCCTGAATCAGCCAAACAATTTTTGGTGCGAAAAAAACCAAATAAAACCAACAACAGTCTCATCATTCAGTAGGTGAATAGTCCTTGAGGCAGCAGACGGACATCCATTATCTACATACTACTCAAATAACATTATTGTCATCGTAGGTCTGTCTGCGCCTAATGTTTGGCGAGACAACCTTGTTGTATTTTCAAACAATATGCAGTAGTCTCTCCTTTTAAAATTCTCTGGTTTAATTATTCATTAAAAAATTCACACTCGCCATTTTGACGGGTAATATTCGGCGACAGGACAAAGTGGCTAACACAGGGGTTCAGGAAAATGGAGGGAGGGGGGTCTGGGACATGGGGATAGGGGTTCTGAGACATGGAGAGTTCTGGGATATGGGATTACAAGGACGGGATGGGGGGTTTCTGGGACAGGGGGGGGTATGTATTTTCTCCACTACTCCACTCTTAGTAAGAGGCGCCATCGTCGGTTAGGCGATGTAAAGAGAATTTATCCAAGAGAATGGGCAGCGTTAAGAGAATGGGAAACGTAAAGAGAATGGACAACGTAACGAGAATGGACAACGTAATGAGAATTCACAACGTAAAGAGAATTCACAACGTAAAGAGCATGGACAACGTTAAGAGAATTCACAACGTAAAGAGCATGGACAACGTAAAGAGAATTCGCAACGAAAAGAGAATGGACAACGTAAAGAGAATTCACAATGGTCGTGTTCCGAAGGACTGTATGGAGGATTGGCAGCGGGGAAAGACATATCGGACGGTCGCGGCTGTGTTGTAAAGACGTTTGTGTCTGAAGCCAAATCGAAATAGGCAAATGGAAAGCTTATCGACATAGGCAAGTGGAAAGCTTATCGACATAGGCAAGTGGAAAGCTTATCGACATAGGCAAGTGGAAAGCTTATCGACATAGGCAAGTGGAAAGCTTATCGACATAGGCAAGTGGAAAGCTTATCGAAATAGGCAAATAGAAAGCTTATCGACATAGGCAAAGCTTAGCGAAATTTTGTTTTCCCGTCTTGGAATAGATCAGAGGCGTCAGATACTGGCAGTGGCGAACCTATGGGTTGCTAAGGGGGTGACTACCCCCCTGAGCAGTTTAGGTGATTAATATCTAATATTATTCAAAAGATCGTTGAGTGTGTGTTAGAGAGCGCTCGAGTGTGTGTTAGAGGGCGCTCGAGTGTGTGTAATAGGGCGCTCGAGTGTGTGTTAGAGGGCAGACTATGTAGATCGCTCCGGGATTCAGTCAATGAACGCCACTGCATGCACTGGTCACTGGTTGTATTGGTAGTGCCCTAGCGAAAATCACAAAGTCTAAAGGGTTGATGTGCGTGATGCCGTAAGCGTTATCAAAAATTTACAAATATTGTTTTGACCTTCACCTTTTCACTGACCGTAGACCGTCTTCAATTTTAAACATAAATATTTGACGTCATCAATTCCGTTACTTTTTAAAGCATTTCTTGTTCTCTTTGTAAAAAAAAAAATATTCTGATGCAAAGTAAACATTTCTACTTGATGTTATTTCGTCTTTCTTTAATTTTCACTTTACGCGTCAGATCTATCTGTTGTTCTTGGCGTGTCAAATCTGTTATTCACGGACGTACGGAAATTCAATTGCCCAGCTCTTCACACAATGTAAAGCTGCGTTGCTTAACACAGATCGATGAAATATTTTTAAACCTACGGTGCTGTGTTATTTGGGCCAACAGAGGGCTGTATTGTCCCAAAACCTTTTTAAACATAATAGAAATGCATTGACGCCAAAAGACGTTTACCGTTTTAAAACATAAAATATGGATGAAAGCAGAAACATCTCTCTCTCTCTCAATGCATAACTAAATGGTGTGGATTCTGAAACAATAAGGCGATACCTCCATATTTTCACATTTGTTTTGAAAGATAAAATTGAAGTGAGTAAGCTAGCAGCAGTTTTCGCCCCTTCCCCCCCTCCCCACCTTTTCAACCCTTTCCAAAACACCTTTTCTTTTTTTCATCCTACGAGATGCTTATACTATAGCTAAAATTTCTGCCACGCTTAAGAGTGAGCATTGAAAAAATGTTGTTTTTTTTCCTGTGAGGAATAGGGTTCAAGCTAATATCTTATTGTTTCCAAGTTTATGGGAATGAATAGACTTGACAATCATCGAGAATTTTTTCAAAGAGTTTTTAAACGACCTGGAAGCAGGGGATTATTTTAATTTGACAAGAAAAGATCATCTAAAACTTTATCTGGGCGGATTTATTTCTTTATCCCTTAATTATTCCAGACATTGTATATTAATGGGATGTCCTCGTGAGTTAAATAATTAAAAAAAATTAATAAATGAAAACCGTTTGATAAATGCCTATAAAGCTCTGTGTGGCTGTTTTGGTTGACTTGACTTTCAAATAGATCTGATGTGCCTACTTTGAAAAATAGATTAACATGTACATGCAACAGTAACTTATAGCCAGAGCCATGCAAATATTTGGGGGGGGGGGGCGACCTCCCAAATCGCCTACCTCAGGTGCAAGACACATGAGGCACCAAAATCGTAAATTATACTTATATATACATATATATCTAAAGGACATAGAGCTATTTCATATATCATTTACTGAAGAAACGGCGGTAGGGCGCCATTTCCAAGCTTCGCCAAGGGCGCAGCTTTTCCTCGGCATGGTCCCGATAATAACGATAATTAGATATCGACTTGAAAACATGACAGCGTCCCCCCCCCCCCCCCCCCCCCCTCCCCCCCGGCCAATCCAAACGCCTGTGGCCGCCCGAGGCCTATTTGACACGCGATCTAAAGGAAAAAATGTCTTGTCTCACGTGACAAGTCTACTACGTCACGCATGCCAACCGTCCACAAAAGTAGATCTACCATGGAACGTCAGACGGCAACTTTCGTTTCAAACGTTTCCTTCGGCCAAGGGAGGTCATAAGTACGTACTTGCCCGACCTTGAACGACGGTCTGATCTGGTAAATAATAAAAATTGTATAGTTCATTTTGAACGGCCAAAGTGGATAGTCGCTGTCTGTTTGTGCCACATACTCTGCTGATGGTGATAGTAAGTATGGCTGTTTATTCTTTATAAGTGTACGTTCGTACCGTGTGAAAGCATGGACACCAAGTCAAGGTGTCGATTCATATGATATACTTTCAGTGCTGTAACGATAGTATCAACCAACGTTTAGCTAGTCCGACAATTAATTCATTTTATTATAGTTTCTTGACTGATTCTAGCAAATACTTTCAATGAGGTAGTAGGGAATGAAAATAAATGATAGATTATTACAATGAATGTTGATAATTGGTAATAAATGTGTTATAAATTATAAATGGTATTGAATGTTGATAAAGCAGTGGGAGGGGCAGAAGGGGGCAGTTCCCCCGGGCGCCAAAAAGGTCTTTAGATAGGATCTTTATAGTAAATTAAACGATAAAATGCTATGCACTTTACAAGGGGCGCCAAAATCATTTCTTTACTGGCCCGCCCCGGGTGGCCCTTTTTTCTATACATTGGCTGGCGCCATTTTTAGGTTTGGCCCCGGGCGCCTTTTTTTTTTATCTTGGCACCACTGCGTAGCTAAGACTAGTGCCGCTCGGGGCGGGCTAAGATATTTAGCTCCCTTCTTCCGTGAAAATACTCTGCATTTGACCGAAAATGATGCCCCTCCATATAAGCAAATTGCCACCCTGGGTGGACCCCCTTTATAATATCAATCACAGCCTTTTTTTTTTTGCAATCTTCAGAATTTTATCTATAACGTTTTCATTAACCTTATGAAAAACATAAGCTAAGGGCAAAGGTCGGTAACGTGTTATTAATAATGTGCCGAGTAGGATTCCTATTTCATTCAGAATGCCAACAACCCATAAGTCTATCTACACCAGGGGCGTCTGCACAAAGGGAAGGAAAACAGCTGCTTCCAATGTGAGGTGTAAGAAAAGAAAAAAAAAAGGGGGGGGGGGAAAAAATCCTCCATGCCTGCTTTTGCATTTCTCCCGGTTAAAAGCCTACTAATATTGGGAATTTTAAAAAAAAAAACATTAAAAACTCATTTTTTTAATATTATTAATAAAAAAAAAAAAAAAAAAGGGGGGGGGGGGTAAAAATCCTCCATGCCTGCTTTTGCATTTCTCCCGGTTAAAAGCCTACTAATATTGGGAATTTTAAAAAAAAATACATTATATACTCATTTTTGTAATATTATTATTATTGTATTTTTGGGGGCGAAGGGGGTGGGGATGTGTTACAACGAAAAAATTGTGTGTTCTAAGTGTGACACGTGTTTTGACCGCACTCCCAAGCCAAGAGCCCGAACTAATCTTTGAACTTTAAGTACAAAAACTTAAATAAAAATTATAGGCCTACTGAAATTCATATGGTGAATAACCTTTGATAGACTAGTTTTATTTGCTGAAAAATCTGAAGAATGGTTGCGAAATGTAGCGAACGGTAGCGAAATTGTACTCGTTTTTTTATATGTTATTTTTGGCTAGTCAATAAATGTTCTTATAATTTTTTTAGACTGTAAATTTTTGTAGTACAATTATCATAGTGAGCTCCCCTATCCCAAACGAACCTCCACTACCGTGACTGGCATGACTGGTGGGACTGGCATGACTGGTGGGACTGGCATGTTCCACACACGGAATTTACAAATTTGCAGTTCTTGGGGTTGGGAGAAGTGGGATTGGCTTCCACCACTCAGGGGTTGAGGGATAGACGCCCCTGAGCCGTGCTACGCTACCATTTTCTAGTCGTATTGAAGATTACTTTGCGTGTCGCGTCTGACACGCGTGTCGCGATGTGCCGACCTCTGGCTAAAGGCTGCAAAATTCCAGTCTGGCCTGAAAACAGAAATGCTGTTTGGGATGATTTTCCTCAGTATACGTGTGTAAGTGTAAGTTTGCGAGGTGGGCGTTGGGGGGGGGGGTTGGTATTGAAGACTTGGCGTACAGCAACAGCACCAACGTGTGCTGATTCAGTGGACTGGAGAAACACACTTTAGAAGTAAACATGCGTGCTATTTGTATTCATTTCGCCGAACATTCACTTGATCATGTTGGCCCTGCTGCAGTAGCTTTCTATTTAGATGTAACCATACTTTGTGTTGATGTACATCGCCTACAAAGAACAAAGAATCTAAAAAACAACAAAAAAAACCAACTACCTGGCGTTGAATGGTGTGCAGGGAAAAAGAATGTGTCAACAAATAAAAGCAAACCCGCTAGAGCTCACTTAGAACAGTGGTTCTCAACATTCGTAATGCCGCGACCCTTTAATACAGTTCCTCGTGCTGTGGTGACCCCCAACTATAACATTATTTTCGTGTGTTTTCCGATGGTCTTAGGCGAGCTTGTGTAAGGGTCGTTTGACCCCCCCCCCCCCGAAGGGGTCGCGACCCACAGGTTGAGAACCACTGACTTAGACGCTTTGAAGAGATTTCTCCAAACCCTGGCTTTAGAACAGGAGACAGGAGTGCGTGAACAGCCCCGGGCCGCTCCATTATGAAGTTACTAGATAAGGGACTGCGTTCAAGCTATGCGTTCAAGTAAATAAAAGTATAACAAGGTCTGTTTAGGCTTGAAAATTAGAGACAATTAAGCGGTCGTTTCAACTGGATGCCTTCCTGTTCTCAACATTGATCTACATTGACCTACATGGACATACATTGACCTACATTGACCTACCTTGACCTACCTTGACCTACATTGACATACATTGACCCACATTGAGCTACATTGACCCACATTGAGCTACGTTGAATTACATTGGTTTTATATAGATCTTCAATTACACAAGTTTTATTATTCCTATTTAAATGTATCTGTTGTTTATTTATTTCTATTTTCTGCCGAAGAAGGCTGCTGGCTGAACATCTGGCCTACCTATGGTCTTATATCCTTGATATGTAAATCGATTCAGTTACGTCATGGCAGTTTTTTTTTTTACTATTCGCACCGGCTCGGCAGAACCTATTGCCAATTATTTTTTGTTGAGTTCGGCGAAGCTACTGCTAAAATGGGACTTAGGTCGTTGGCTATTAAGGTTCTCTCTAAGGTGGACGCCCTGGCAACCGCCTAATGTGTTCCAAAGATGTACATTCCCTAAAATTTAGTTCATCTGCGCAACAGCACATTCTAAATGTCTGTTCCAGCCATGGGGGGGGGGGGGGGGGGATTAACAGTTGTAATATTTATAATGTGGTGTTGAATACTTAAAAGCTGCCATTGGAACCGTGAACCGGTTGTTAATGTTACTGAAGTATTGGAAGCGCACTACTGTGTGGTACTTATCTTTGTTTACAGTTTCACTTAGCTTACTCTCTATCTTGGCTAGCTTGATCACAGTATAGTAAATGATTGTTACATTTTTTTATCAAAGAAGCAGTGAACTATTTGGAGATGTGACCAATAACTTGTGAAGTTATTTTATTGACGAGTTTTCTAGGGCAATAGGTCCAAATTCTTCCGTTTCGATATGGTGATAAGGGCTATTTCCAATACCTTGTTTTTTGCTATCAATGGGGAAAAAAATTAGTTTAGCCAGCGCTAATTTTTTATAGTAGTTAAAATACTCCTGGCTGTTTTTTTTTTTTTTTGTTTTTTTTTGTGATGAAAAGACATCATTAAACTTATAGTACTAATTGCTCCTAAGATTCCAACTTGAGCCAGATTTAAAGAATTAAATAACTGTAATATTAATTACTAGATATAGCCCTCCAAACATAAGATAAGATAAGATTCTTTTATTGATCCAAATAAATGGAAATGTTTTTTGATTGAATTATACATTTTCAGCACAAAAATAAAACAATTTAAACACAAGACATTTATAATAAATTATTTCAAACAGCCATTCAGTGAGTTCTCTTACCAAAATTGGGGACTTATTAGTTCTCATTCAGATGTGTGACTTTAGAGGAAGCACGCCGGTAAATTCGTAAAGATTGAGGAACAAAAGATTTTTATATCGGTCAGTCCTCGCCCTGATGGAAAGAATTCGTCCCGAACACCCGATCCTAAGTATCTGGGATGAAGAGGGTGGAATGTATCATCCAAAATGTGTTTAGTTTTGCAAAAACATCTTTCTTCTAATAGTCCTTCAAGTGAAGGATGTTTGTGTTATGTTTCTAGCTTTCTTGATTAGTCGGTTTATGCGGTGTTTAATATCAGACGTTGAATTTCCACACCAGCATGTAATACTGAAATTAAGCAGACTTTTAATAGTTGCACTGTAGAATAAGTTAAAGAATTGCTTGTTTACGCCAAAATTGTACAGTTTTTTGAGGTAGAACAGTCTGTGGTTGAATTGCGTATACAGGATTCGGCCGTGCTCATGCCATGTTAGCTTATTATAATAGTGACACCTAAGGACTTGTATGCCTCGACTTTCTCCACATTTTGATTTTTTATGTTGAGATCTGTAATCTGGTGTTTCCCCCTCATGAAATCAACAACCATTTTTTTTGTTTTTGAGACATTCAACTGGAGAAAATTTTCATCGCACCAATTGATAAATTTTGTTACTAAGTTACGGTATAGGCCTTCTCTTTCAGATATTAAGCCAACATGATACGTCGCTGCACATTTTTTATTTCACGCCCATGAACAATCTATCTATATCTATAATTCGTCAGCAAAGGTCAAACACGAACATGGGCGCCCGCAGAAAACTTTCTGGGGGGGGGGGCAAAAAAAATCGATTAACTTTCCAGGGAGGGTGGCAAAAAATGTTTAGTCATGTTTTAATATAGTTTAATTTACTGTAGTGTATTTGTATGGTGAACGAACGGACAGGACATTAGCTTAGTTACTTTCTCTTTACTTTCTCTTTACTTTAATACATTTTTTGTCTATTTTTGTCTAAATTTTTTTATCTAATCAATCCAGGGGAGGGGGGGGGCAAGCCCCCTGCGGACGCCCATGAACACGAACACGGTTCAAACACCACACAGGCTATTTATAGATACGCCAGAGTGTGGTTCAATAATGAGTTCAGTAGCGCGCAAAATATAATTCCCGATAACTACGGCATATATGATATATGTATATTTTTTTAATAAAGCAATTGGGTTTCGTGCGTAATATTTTCTTTTTGGAAATGAAGTCGTCTCAATTTAAGTATTGTGTAAAAAATATTAGGTTCAGAATTGGTTGGGACATGAGAATATTAATATAGTTCATGGGCGTGAAATAAAAAGTGTGTAGTGACGTATCATGAAAAAAAAAGAGGGGGGGGGGGGGGGGGGGGGGAAGGGGGGGTAGCAAATATTGGGATTATTTTCAATGTGCGTTACTTGATTTCACGTTTTTTATTGGTTGGGACATGAGAATATTAATATAGTTCATGGGCGTGAAATAAAAAGTGTGTAGTGACGTATCATGAAAAAAAAAGAGGGGGGGGGGGGGGGGGGGGAGGAAGGGGTGTAGCAAATATTGGGATTATTTTTAATGTGCGTTACTTGATTTCACGTTTTTGTCAAGTAACTTTAGAAGATGGGAAGTTCACGCATTGCTGTCGCCAATGTTTGGCGGGCTATATTTAGTATTAAATATTCTAATGTCCCAACCACTTTTAAACCGAATATTTTGTTTACACCATACTTTATTGTGACGATTTCATTTCCCGAAAAGAAGATATTACGCGCCAAACGCAGTTGTGTGTTGTTGTTGTTTTTTTAATATGTCATCTAGGGTTGTAATCGGAAATTATATTTTGCACGCTATTGAACTCATTATTGAACCATGGTTTCTTTCAAACATATACAATTATTTGTAATATACTCTCAATACCAAATACGCTGCATAGGAAGAAGCCAGAACAGGAAGCGGTCCACGAGTCACACCGGAAGCGTAATATATTTTATATATATATATATATATATATATATATATATATATATATGCGATGTGCATATCAGCGTGTTTTGATTCAGTTTTGAATTTCCGATTCGGTTACAGGGTGTAGCTTTTTCTTAATAATTCACACCGGAAGCGTAATATATTTTATATATATATATATATATATAAATATATATATATATATATGCGATGTGCATATCAGCGTGTTTTGATTCAGTTTTGAATTTCCGATTCGGTTACAGGGTGTAGCTTTTTCTTAATAAAAAAATAGCTAGTTATTTAAATGTGACATATCGTCGGTGTTTACTGGTAGGCTATTAAACGATCAGCAAATCGTTAAGCTTTCACTGGGTAACAGGGTACCAACATATTTTTTTAAATGTCTCCCTATAATACTATTTATGGGCTAATTTGTGATTGACAAATTGGGTTGTGAACTATGGTGTTATATCCTTTATATGTAAATCAATTCTGTTATGTCATAGCAGGAAGAAAGAAATCACATACACAGAATGATGCGTTTTTTTTAAAATATGGAAACAGTTGGTACTCTCAGCTCTGCAGCGATCATCGATGATTTCATATTGACGGGCCGGTCTTTGTTGCCAAGGTCTTAACTTGCTGTTTCTAAGGGGTTAATTTTTTGTTTACATGACATTAATCAACCGCTGCTCCTCATAAAAAATTTCTGGACTCCCCCCTCCTACTTCTCCTACTCCACACACAATCAGTCTCATTTTGGGTTATTTATACATTGTAATTCAGTAAGTGCTTCGCAACCACCAGGTAACCAACCAATCACTGTAGGCCTACAGAGCTTCCAGTTTGGTAAGTGAACCGTGGGAACATCAATAAACGACGTCACGCTTGTGGGTGGTGGTGGTGGGTTTGGGGGGGGGGGGCTGTCACAAATTTGTGCTTCGTGTGATATAAGTATTATGTGTTTAATTTGTGTTAAAATTTGTGACGATGCGGGAGGGGGTAAAAATTGTGTAAAAATAGCGTCAAGTCATTTAAGGATGCCCCACATGCTCTTTTGCCTCATTGTGATAGGCCTATTTGAATTGAACGAGGAATATAATATTTAATAAGTTATCATTTGAAAACAAAAGACGAAACTTAACATTGCCGAAAGGATGAGAAAAAAAATTGATTAAATCGCAAAAAACATGAAGGAATGGGCTTATTCCAGTGGCCGCACTGGCGTAGAAAAGGTGGTTTGGGGAAGGGGGGGGGGTCAGCCCAGGGTTGCACCTTTTCTCTACGTATAGAGGGGCGGAATTTTAGGGCCAAATGCATCTATTTTTCGAGAACCAGGAGTGGCAGAGATCCTGGATGTCCCCGGACAGCACTAATCTTAGCCACGCCGCTGAGTCGCCAGTGATTCTCACGTTCAAGCATCCCGCCGCCGGGGCAAAATGTCTACAATAAAATGAAAATATAGTTTATTTTAAAAAAAACGACCAAATTGCCATTTTTAAAACAATAGTAACTGGTTCCATCAACCGAGTACAATTAGTGGAATCTATGAAATATCGCTACGCTAAATATATATATTTGACGATATGTATAGTTCATGATCATAATTATGGTACTGTTTCGAAAATTGGCTGCTCCCGAAGTTGAGGACAAGACTTACTTCGGATTTCTTGGCATTTTAATTTAATTATTTATGTGCAACTTAACACGTTTAAAGACTTTAATAACACTGGTAATAAACTACCTTTACATGAATACGAATGTCTATAATTTTAATATAGTTCTCGCTTTTATGATAACATTATATTTTATAATAAAAGCATGACTTTAAAAGTAAGGATAGTTGTTAGTTATCAATTGTTATTATATAAGTTTATTTGTTATTAGCATAATTTTAAATGTACCGGTAATGTAACAATTACGAATTTAGCGGGCGCATACAATTAGTGCACACTTAATTACTTAATTAATTACAATATCGAAAGCGTTTGTGTTTTCTTTAATTAAATGAGTTACTTTTGTAACAACTTTCTGAATAACAGAGTTCTTTTTACAAATACTTAGCCTATATTTATTAGATTCCCAACTGATTTTCTCTTTTATTATCACTGATCACGACAATATCAATATAACAATCTGCCCCAACTATTCGCACGCACTTTTTAAAATTATTATTATTATTTTCTTTTCTTTTTTTTTTTTTTTTTTAATAGAGAATCCAAAAAAAATCTATTTTATAATTTTAAAAAATCAAACACCTTTTTTTGAAATAGCATTTCGATTTCTACACCGAATAATTTTTTTTTTTTTTTTTTTTGGAACTGACTGATTTTAGAAATAATACGTGTATCTCAAATCGTCAAGTTAAAAAATATGTTCTATAAATATATCGAAGAAGCAATTTGTAATTTATCTGCACAAAGTTTTAGTCTTTTGAAATTCCAAATAATCATTACAATCAACTGAATCCTCGGAACTTTATACTTTATTTGTATACGATTTCCATCAAATAAATCACACATCAATGAATAGTGTAATATGATGTCATTGCAAACAACTCATGTCCTCTTAACATAATTATGCTGTTAATAGAAGCTTAAGATTTATAAAAATGACCGGTTCTGAAAAACCCATAAAATGTAGGCCAATAGTCCTTTTTTTTAATAAAACAGTCTTTTTTTCTATATTATTCTAAAAACTTGATTAAATTTAGAAAAGGTAATTGTTACAAGTAAGTTTTTAAATTTTTAATTTTTTATTTGCGTTCTCCACGTTAAATTAGATCTACGCCGGAAGCTAGCAGTCTTAGCAGTGCTTTTGTGGGGGAAACATTTCTGGAAAGTATGATTTTTTTAAAATATTGTTTTATTGAAAATTGATTCATTATTTAAAAGTTAACCCTAAAATAGATTTTATAAAATTTCAAAGCCGCATTACTTGGCCTACGATATACAGGGTGGGCCAATAAAAGTGATAACATTTCGTAGCGTAATATTTTACGAGATTTTCTCACTTTTTTTGGCCCACCCGGTATATATTGTATAACACTGGCAAGTCCAGAAGGGCTGTCGCTTGACTTTTTGAGGCCTCCTGGCACTTTTATCCCCCACTTTGCATTCAAAGTTGATAATTAAAAAAGCTGTATAATATCCGAGGTCCCCTGCAGTCGAAGGGGTTGCGGGGCCAACATGGTGGCTCTGAGGTTTGATGACGACACCTACACTTTTTAACTAGCACCTCTTGCGTTGCTCTCCAATTGAGTGTAGAATGTTGTAAAGTTAAATTCGGGTTTGTTCCAAAATGCATCCATGCATTTTGAATTTATCAAAAAATGTCTGGGTTCTATAAAGATTATAAAGATTTAAGAACGAGAACAACCTAGGGCAAAAAGCATACCATCAAGTCGCCAAAACTGGAACCAATTTAGTTAATGTTAGGCTGGAGTGGAGCTAGAGATATTATCATGGGCGCCCGCAGGTAGTGGCAAGGTGGGGCACTTGCCCCACCTCCCCTGGATTGATTGGATAAACACATTTTAGACAAAAATAGACAAAAAATTTATTAAAGTAAAGAGAAAATAAAGAGAAAGTAACTAAGCTGATGTCCTGTCCGTTCGTTCACCATACAAATACGCTACAGTAAATTAAAACTATATTAAAACATTACTAACATTTTTTTGCTAATTAAAACTATATTAAAACATTACTAACCTTTTTTTGCCCCCCCCCCCTTGGAAGTTAATCGATTTTTTTTTGCCCCCCCCCCCTAGAAATTTTTCTGCGGGCGCCCATGGCTGGAGCGGAGCTAGAGATGTTATTGATCATTATTATGGCTAATTTTGGCGCTTCCCACGCGATAGTCTTAAACGGCCCCTCACGATCGTCTGACAGAAACACCGAGTTCAAGTATGGGCCGAAATTCATCCCAGCATTTTGTATTTGCCCGAGAGTCTTCGACATCCTAAATTTCTGCACTCATCTTCCCTCACACTGATCAGTGTGACAGTACGGGGTTGAATCAAAGGGTTTGCCAAATGATTACTCTGGGGCTCGCCACAACGAGAGTGAATTTAGTTTGTGTATGGCAATGGGCTCCATAATGCGTCCCCCGGACATTAACCCCCCCCCCCCCCGAATAACAGAAACAATGAATTCACTTCTATTAAAAAAAGTGGATCTCATTATTTTTAAATAATCGAACATTTTCTGTGAAGGTGACTCCACAGACACTACTTTTGCACTCCTTTTCTTAATACAAACTCTGCAATGAACCGGAAATTCAGCCCCTCGATATAATTACAAATTGACACCTGGGTTGGGCCACCCTATTCACATCCCTTTCTACTCATCTGACAGAGGCGAAGCGAGAGTGCTGGGCACGAGGGGACAATATTCCCTTATACGCCCCCTCCCCTGAACTTTGTACACATTATTTTTATCCATTAAATACCAAGCCCATTTTGGCGCCCCCGCTAGTCTGGCGCCCGGTGACATCTGTCCCCTATGCCCCCTTCAGTTACGCATCTGCCCAATAGAATTTGGGCCCTCCCTAACCTCCTCCCCCCCCCCCCGGGGAGGGGGGATAAACTGAAAGAAACACGGCACTTAACCACGCCTTTGAAATTAAATATACGGCTTTTTTTTTTTTTTTTTTTTTTTTTTTTTTTTTGCCAAACCTTTTGGTTTTTTTTTTTTTTCATTATTTTTATCCATTAAATACCAAGCCCATTTTGGCGCCCCGGCTAGTCTGGCGCCCGGTGACATCTGTCCCCTATGCCCCCTTCAGTTACGCCTCTGCCCAATAGAATTTGGGCCCTCCCTAACCTCCTCCCCCCCCCCCCGGGGAGGGGGGATAAACAGAAAGAAAAACGACTCTTAACCACGCCTTAGAATTTAAAAATAAGGCTTTTTCTTTTTTTTTTTTTTTTTTTTTTTTTTTTTTTTGTGCTTAGGCCAAACCTATTGGCTTTTTTTTTTCTTCCAATTATTAAGTACAAATATTAGCCTACACTTTAAATTCATACCATGTCTCTTACATTAAATTATGATAATTTAATGTCAACATTTATTTATTCAAATCTACTTGATTTCGAACAAATAAAAATTTAATTGTCATCTATGCTGCTTTTTTTTTACTGGACAGTGGAGCTTACAGTAAAGTTTCAAGAGAAACTGGCAATTGTCCCTCTTCCATGTGGTTTTCATGGGCTTAACTTTAAAAACCTAGAGATCATATTATTAGTCTAGGCATAACAATAAAATAACAGGACACAGAATAGAAAACATTCCTTTTGTACCAATCCGCAGCCTTTGTCGGAGCTCTTTTGCGTCATATCGGAAGTGGAAGAGAAGAAAAAAACATTGACAACATAATTGATCGCCGACGCCAGTACTATATTTTTATTTTATAATTTATACTTTAACACTTAGAATATCTAAAATCATTTTCTTTGCATATTTTAAATTGCTATTGGTGTAAATGTCTACGTTATATTTTATCCTTACTCATTATTGCTGTCATAGCAGAAATTTAGCCTGTTTTAAAGTTGTTTAAATTAGTTTTTTTAGCGTCAACTGTCAACACGGAGTTGGTGGGTGGGTTGGTAAATTAGACTTTGACTTAGTTAATTAGTAGTAATAATTTCATAATAATATTGGCTTAAACCATATTTATTATGACTGAGTTATGAGTATACCGCTGTGGCCCAAAGTAAAGTATGATTAACTTCAAAAGCATGTTATTGCAATAATTTATAACTTATGAATATTATAATTTTGATGTTTAAAAATAGTTTAATTTAATTAAAATTAAACTTTAAATGCATGGGGCATGCTAGGCTAATTTGTTTTTTGGTCTATTTAAAGTAGTTAAAATATAAAAATTTGTTATAATACTTAGTTACTCTGAGTTACTCTACTAAGAGTTGTCAAACCTAGATACTAGGTTTGTTTATTTGTTATGAGGCAGTGTGTAAACTCATGATGTCACCACCCCACTCCGCCTCTAGACTTCCCCATACTTATCATAATATTCATAATCATAGACTTAGACCTTCTCAGAGTCTCCTCTAGTGACTAGTGTCTACTCTAGTGATTAGTGGAATTATGATCTCATGCAACCTGCTCTGTCTTATGACACCCTGCTCTGGTGGAACGCTCTTGTATTTAACCGAGTTCTTTTATGAAAATGACTCGAATTTTCAATTTTTCATTTTGTGTCTCACCCCCCTATCAAATTTCATACTTAACTAAAAAAAACTAACTTTGGGGTGCTATTTCTTCTGCAAGAATTTTACTTTGATTTTTTTTCCTTCAGTTTTTGTTTTAAATTTTATGATCATTTTTCTTAATTATAGACAATGGATTTATCCATGGCTGTGTTTGTCACAGTTGTGGTTTGTGTTGTTCAAGGACAGTCAGATGATTTAAAACTTGATGTGCCGAGATTTGATGTCATACCAGATTTAAAACAGAGAATTGATCTGCAAAGATCTGCAAATTATCTGTTACTTCCTCATATTTATAGGTTTGTATAAATCATTAACCTAATAATTGGGTAGTTTAATGCCTAAGACTGTGACATAGAAAAAATCTATAACTGGAATGGCAACTTCATGTTTATTTTATTCTAAGATTAATAACTTCATGAACAAACACTGGGGACCTAAGTGTATATTGTCACTAAGGGAGTACATGGATGGCTGATTTCTATGCCAGAGAAATACTTAAGTTGTCTTCTGTATAAATTGTTATAATTGTAAAATGTTGTCTTGGTTAAAATATGTATTTATTTATGTGCTGAATGTGTGAACATGTTTAATGTGATTAAAAAAATTGTCCATTAAAATTGCATCAATAAAAGAATCTTATAAACAAAAATGCATTCTTAGGGTATAAAATGTACATCTCTTTGTAATATTTTCTGCTCTCAAAGTTCACCAAGCTGGGTACCTCTGCTGAAGGTCACCTAGCTAGCCACCCCTTATCTATTTTGATTATTATTTATTCTTTGTATTCAGGGCCTTTATATATGGTGGTGCTGACCCACAGCTGCTGCAGACAGTGTCAGAAGTATGCCAGAACAGTCTGACACAGTACTATCATGGGCTGGAACAGAAGGAAGCATGGGCATGGAAAAGTGAGTTATTGATACAGTTAGTTGTTGACTTATGGTTGCTGGGTTGCCAAACAGTCTAAACTGAGTCAATCCAAAAAGTTGGTGGTCTGGGGTTCAATCTCCACCAAAACCTAGACTAGCAAAAACATCCCCAGCATGCCTGGTGGATGATACTCTTTAACCTTGGACGGCAACTTATCTAAGAGAAGGCAATCCTTGAATTCAAACCCAAAGATGGAGTCCCATAGGTAGTATGACACAATGAAATTTCCGGTAACTCCTACGACACTTATGGTGCCAAGCTGTATCATTCACATATGACGTTCTCTTGGGCTATCCAAGTGCATTGAGAGAGGAGAGTTTCTGTCTAAGGAACCAGCTTATCCTCCTAAAGAAAAATCCCATTGTGATTTTGTACTGCAAAGTCTACACCATCGTCACATTGTGACAGACGGATGCCAGAAGTTTTTGACTTTGGACATATGAGACTTACCACAGATGGACTTTAGGGCGTGGAACCCACCAAGAATATATAATACCTGGCATTGGGTTTGTAATATAGGAATGGAGAGGCTCATGTCTTGATCACTATGAGCGTTTGAGCAACATTTTGATATACTCCCAAATTTATCAGTTTGTCTCACTCAAGAAATCAAAAATAAACATTTTGACTGATTTCCCCATTGAAATATTCACATTTTCTACATGTCCTAGTAAAAAATACTAAACTCTCTACTCATAAAAAGGTTATGTTGACTTCACAATGGTAAACTTAGAAAAATTTTTTTTTAAAACCCAATGAAACGATGTGGAGAACAGAAAAAAAGAACTTGAACAAACCATTTTAAAATGATTAGCTGTCCTTTCTATTAAAACCTTGCTACACACTGCTGGACCTCTTGAACCACTGATTTAGTGTGTGTTTTTTATGTGTACCCCAGTGTATGATTCAACTGGGAAGCAGAACTCTGGGATCTTCTTCGGAGCAACAACTTGGACAGGCAACTATGATGAGTGTCTTGGCATCATGTCCAATGACTGCACAGGCAAGTGTAGATATGAGAGACCGGCGCCACATTTCTGCAGTGTGCACATGACACAGGCTCCATGGATGCCCAGGCTAATTTCAAAGCTAGTAAGTAGTATATCATGCTGGTGCAGGTTGTGGCCTTAGAAGGGGAAAAGGTTGCTATAACTTTCTGAAGCCATTCTAAAACACAACAAAACCTTTATTATAAGCACTACCTAGCACAGGTTTTCTCAACTCTTTTTAACATATACCTGTACATAACTTAGTGCTTCGGTCTGGACAGCTTTCTTTGAAATACATTAGCTCATCACTTTCATCGTTTAATTGTTTTTAAGAGCAGTTAAAGAGAGCACACTTAATGGGATAGGTTTGGTAATCCTTGAGCTTTTGAAAGAACTGCAAAAAGAACCTAAATAATTTAATTTGTGAGAACATTGCATTTGGTTTTTTATCTAACCACTTTAACACAAATTCTTACCTGATTATTGCTCGCTATATTCATAATATATATATATATATATATATATATATATATATATATATATATATATATATATATAAGTCTATATATTTGAGAACATTGCATTTGTTTTTTTATCTAACCACTTTAACACAAATTCTTACCTGATTATTGCTCGCTATATTCATAATATATATATATATATATATATATATATATATATATATATATATATATATATATAAACAGCAGTCCATATAGCTAATGAAGAATAAAACCAACCTACATCTTAATTTACACTGCCCAGGTAGACACTTTGCATCTTGAGTTAGACTTGATTGTTTCAAATGTTCCTTAAGCAATCATATTTTTGTTTTTCGGAAAAAAAAATTTCACATTAAAATTAAAAATGGAATTTAACTTATCATAGCAAACATTGATGTTTGGTGACAAGATTTATTTATATTGCAGCTAAAATCAATTTTTTTTTTTTAAATGTGTACCAAGCATCATTATAGTTGTTACATCAAAGTTATTAGTTATGATAGAATCTGCCACTTAGTATCAAGATTAGAGGACAGTTATTGCAGACCTCCCTACCAAGTTTAATATAGTTTTTTAGTATTTAACCCCCCCCCCCACCCCAAAATAAAATATTAAAGTAGTATTTAAGCCATAATGTGTTAACCTTCAAATTGCAAAATATTAATATTCTAAACAAGTTAGCTGAAGTTTTCCATCAGATAAAACAGAACAAAAATTTGTTGAATGAGGCCAAAGTAAGTTGAACGAGGCACAAATAGGTTGAACAAGACCCAAATAGAGTGAACGAGGCCTTAACAAATTCTTAGTTCTGCTTGAGTTGCTCTACTTTATGTTATGGTTGTAACCAATGTTCCCTTTAAGCTGCGCGGCCGCGCAGCAATCTCACAGACGCTGCACAGCAGTTTTGAGTACCGCGCAGCTAATTTCCACTCAAGTGTGTGTTTGTGTCTGTAGGCTCTAAAATTTTTCACGCAAAAAAATTGATGCTGTAAAACTTTGCTCACAACTTTATGATTTTGCACAGGAACCAAGAAACCTTAGAGGGAACATTGGTTGTAACCCAAGGAGGGCCTCAGAGAAAATTTGCAACCCCTTTTTACTTTTCACAAGGGGAGGGGGATCCACATTTTGCAATAATATGAAAATTCATATTGGTAGGGAGGTTTGGTCATTGTAAAAGATTTGTAGAAGCATTGTTTGATGATTTGGATGCTCCTGCTACTGTCAATGTCATTTTGTTAGTACAAATAATTAATATAAACAAATGTTTAATTATTAAAAACTAGTTCATAAAAACTGCATCCAGCCTTATATTTCCTTTCCTTTTAATGGCAGGCACATCCTGCTGACACCTGCTAGGTTAGTTTTAAAAGTCTTTGTGTGTGTGTGTGTGTTTTTTTTTTCAAAATCAGTATCATTTTTGGTTGCTTTGTTGATTATAAAAATAATTGTGATTCTCCAGCTCTCTTGTTTATTTGAGATAAGCTTTTTATTAAAACCCCAGAATAAAATACATTTTTTATTTAACCCACAGTAAAATACTTCTTTTCGTTTTTAAACCCAGAATGAAAAATTAAAAAAAATATATTTTTTTTTTATTCAGAGTGAAATTATTATTTTTTTTTTAAATCCCAGAGTGACATTATTTTATTTTGTTTAAAATCCCAGAGTAAAATCTGCTCACATTAATCTGCATAATTTTGTATCCTTTTTTATTTTGATAATATTTCAATAAATTTGTTTTATGTCTCTCTCTATTTTTTTCTGGTAAACTTTTAAAAGCTATATTCTTTATTTTATTTTCCTGGGCTATGAGTGCATGTTGTCTACAAGGACCACTTAAAATCAGCTGTGTGCGTACACCCTAGAGAGCTGAAATTTGGTACACAGCTTTGACTAGTGGGCTATTGGAACCAGTCAGGCTTTTGTACAAACATCTACTTGTTTGAGCAATACTGTGATTCGCCAATCATAGGAGCAATGCTGTGATTTGCCAAGTCATGGGAGCAATAATGTGATTTGCCAAGTCACTGGAGCAATATTGTGATTTGCCATGTCACGGGAGCAGTACTGCTATTTGCCAAGTCACAGGAGCAGTACTGTTATTTGCCAAGTCACTGTAGGAAAATTGTGATTTGCCTTGTTACGGGAGCAGTGCTGTGATTGGCCAAGTCATGGGAGCAATACTTTGATTTGCCTAGTCACATTGATCCTGTCTTAGTATAAATAAAAACTTGATCCAAGTACTTCGATATTAAATAGTTTCTATTAGTTCTCTGTTGTGCCCAAGCTTTCTTCATTCTATAAGCCATATGTGTATTCTTGGAAGCTTCTGCTTTTTTATAATGATAAAAAAATTGCTATATCTTTATTTCCTTTTTAAAAAAAAAAATTACATGACAATTTCAATATTTCATTAGCAAGGCACCACACATTTTTTTATGAGGGAAAAAATTCTGACCTCAGTTCCATAAATTTAAATTTTCAGTGTTTTCTATTCTTTACTAATAACGTCTCATTGAAGATGGGGTCGGTGGGTCGCCGAGTGTGAACTCTTAAACCCCCCCCGCACACCCCCACAAGGGCCGACGCCAGGTTTCCCAGCCGCCAGACCGTGTGGAAGCACGTCGGAGACCTCCCCCCTGTGGCCTAGGGGACGTCCGGTTGACTGAAAACGCTGCGTTTAAAGCGTTCGCTGTCCACTCTCCTTGGGTCTGAACGGCTTTACTTCCTCTCCAGGGGGAAGGTTTTGCGTTGCCTCCCCCCCACCACCCAGGGAGTTGTTCCTTTGGGACGAAACGGTCACCTAGGAGCGGTTTTCTCAGGGCCGCATAGCTAAAATCCTTGGCAAGGGTTTTGGCCGCCACCCAGGCCTCATATCCATTATCAGCAACAAGTAATCATGTTATTGCGTTACTTCCGTTGCGTTGGGAGTCATGCAAGTGGCCGGGGGTTTTGGCTTCTGGAGAGATCTCCCTACTAGTCTGCCATGCCATGGAGAGGCTAACCCCATGTGACACCACCAGGTCGCCCGTGGTGCTGGACTTGGACCTAGAGGCGTTCGGTCACCGCCCAACCAGGCTATTCTTTACTAAACAATTCAACCCCATTGTTTTTTATTTCATACTTAACCTAAGTCCAGGTGGGCACTCTAATTGAAGACCAATGTTGTGTTAATAATGTCCAAGTACGTACATTTTATACTTTGTATTAAATGTCGGAACTTCACACTTTGCGGGTTGAACATATTTACTAAATAGCTTTTTAATTAATCTACATTCCTGCATAAAAGAGAGAGAGAGAGATATCATTTTAAAATGATTAAGTCTCTTAATGGTGGCACACAAGGCCATGATTGGCCCAGGCAACAGAGTAAATCACTCATGACCCTACCCTCATGGGGGCCCCCAGGGCATAATTTTGTTTGGATACAATCACATTTGGGCATTTTAAAGTTTGGGCAGCACTAATTTGAATTTTCTCGGGACCTAGAAAGCCTCTACACTTTTCTAGTGGCATAGTAGTTATTTTTAACAAAAAGAATCATTCTTTTACTTGAAGCATTATCTAAAAAAAGAATAATGAGCTTCTGTTAACTGGCATCTTCAGACTAAAATATAGGAATTGTCCTTTTAAAGACATCCAGTTCAGTGTATTATAATAACACAATTGGAAATATTTTTTTTCGTTTTTTTCTCATGCATCGTCTGCATTTATTGTCAGTGATGGATTTTCTTATTATGACTTCTCATTGTGCAATTTATTGAGTGTAATTTTCCTGTTTTTTTTTTTCTCTTGAAATTATTCTTCTGCAAATATATCAAACAATATTTTTTAGCATTCAAAAGTATTGTAGGAACCAACCCCAAATCCGAAGTCCCCCGTTCCTCATTGCAGCAGAGATAAGTTATTCGATGTTAAAAAAGGACACACTAGTGTCAGCTTAAGAAAACATTCTATTATAGAGTAGCATTTTATGTTTAGAAAATGTTTCAGTTTTTTGCTTTGTATATAAGACAAAATGTTCTTCGATTTCATGTGGAACTTCATCCTTCTTAAACTGTAGAACCAGGCTCTTAAAGGATGTGTAACTTAAGGTGAACATAGTCTTTTTAAAACAAATTTGTTTTGTGAAATACCAAGGGCATTGTTTTCTTTTAATTTTTAATTTTTTTTTTAAATTTGAAATAAAAACTTTCTTTTTATTGTTGTGTATTAAAAAAAAAATTGAAAGAAGTTTTGAAGGAGGTTAAAATGAATAGTACAATAGAGCATGCTAAATGATCTACTTTTAACAGCACTCAACCCTTTTTGTTTTTAAAAATTTCCTTTACTTTTTTTAAATATTTTAGCGCCATACACCATCCATCTTCTTTAAAATAATATTTTTGTAAGTTAATAGTAAAATGCCACACTTGTGTAAAGATATAATCATAACATGCATTCACACCACCCAACCCCCCCCCCCCCCCCCNCTCAACATTGAGCTCCTTTGTTTCCTTGTCTCTGGTCTTTTTGTTTGCTTTCTGATATTTCCTTTGACGTTGTTGTTTCATTTATACATTTTCC